ACCGCTCTGGAAATAAAGAGAGAAAGAGGAAGGAAAGGTATGAGTGCTTGGACGAGGGGTGGTGATGGGATCCATTCTTTGGGGTCTGTTAGAGCTGAGTGGAGAGGAAACTGGCTGTGGAAGAGGAAAGTCAATCTGTGGGGTTTGAAAGGAGAGTTTTCTTGTCTGTCTTGTGGTTGGTACAGCGGGGGAGGGGCCGTGGGAGTCTGAGACTTACCTTCTTGGAATCTAACTCTCCCTGCAAAAAGGAGCCTGGGAACAGGCATTCACTCACCCTGGGACCCTCTGGGGGCTGGGGTTGAGGGGTATGGGGAGTGGTGTGGATATCTGGAAGACAGGAGGAATTTTTCAGGGAGGTGCCACCTCTCCTTTGTCTCTTTTTCCTCTCTGCCAAGTCTTGACTCCCCACAAGGCTGCTAGTTGTTCCTCATCTCCCCCAGTACTTCTCAGCCCCCATCTTTTGGAATCTTTCTATCTCTAGGTCTCAAAATTGTTCTGGATCCTGACACTTTTGAGTTTGGGGATGTAGGATGGGGTCCTTTTTAGGGGATGTCTGTGTGCACACACGTGTGGTCACCATGGTGACCAACCCATCCCCGTTTGCCCAGGACTTTCTCAGTTTTAGCACTGAGTCTCTTGTCCCAGTCCCCTCAGTCTCTGGCAAACTTAGATGGTTGTTTACCTGAGAGGTCACCCTGACCACCACCCCGGTCCTGCTTTAGTGACTGTTCACACCACCCAGGCAGAGGCCAAGAGAGAGAGCAAAGGAAATCCAGTTCTCAGGGTCACATCAGGGCCACCAAAACGGGTTGGGATGGAGCTCCGGACCTGGGGGGTGGAGAGTATGCCTAGAGTGTCTAGTCTAGGGCGGAGGAAGACAGGCCATTGAGAGAAATGGAAGTGGGGAGCAGTTTGGGAGAGCGGGCAAAGACAGCCCAGTTCCTGTCAGAAGGGACCTCTGGTTGACCCTGGAGCTCTGAGCCAGAAGCTTCTATCCCCAAACACCAAATTCATGGGCTTCTTCCTGTCCTCGCGCACCGGGGCAGAGGCTCCCCAACTTCTGTTACACACTCCCCTTCTCACACACCCTCTGTGGTCAGAAAGCCCTTCCTCAACTCTGTCTTCAGTTCTTGCTGCGGTTTCAGCCCATTTCTTTTCGCCATATCCTCTGCCCGATAACTGCTGGGTCAACTCTGCTCTGGCTTTTCTCAAAGCAGGAAAGGTAGGGGCACTACAGAGGATAAGGGACCTCAGTGACCACCATTACACTGTGCATCTTTCCTGAGAAGAGGCAGAGTTGGAAGGGAAGCAGGAAGGCTCACGGTCAGATGGAAGATAAGACTTTTTGGTTCTTAGCTTTGCAGGAGAGTTCCAGAAGGGGAGACTGTCCTCCTTCCAGGGAGCCGGAAGAGTGACCCTCCTGGGGGCTGTTTCCCTTTCCACGCTCCTGGTTTCCCCTCTTGGCAGGGTAGGCATAAAGCATTGCTGCCCTCGCTCCCTCATGTCTGCTCCCCTGTGCTCACCTCTGCTCTCTCTGTGTGTCTAAGGTGGAACAGAACAGTCAGCTGTGGGAAGGTAGGAAAGAGGTGGTGCTGACTTCCTTGCCCAGTGCCCAGATCCTGGGTCCAAATTCATGTGGCAGGGTAGCCACGTGGGCAAACACAAGGCAAGTGGTTTGGGAAGGAGAAGAAATTGTCATTCTGTGTGATACTAGAGAGACCATTTGGACTTCGGCTTCTACCAAAGAGAATGGAGATTGACCTAGAATGGAACTAGTCCTTTAAGTGAGGAGGGGGATAGGGGTGCTGGAAGAGGGTCCTCTCCCCCAAATCCCGGTCATGGCTTGAATCCAAGCCAAACACAGAATGCTGTCCTCTCTGACGTCACCTGACCCAAACCCAGAACCTAGCCACAGCGTCAACCTACACTTCCTATTAATCTAAAAATCGGCATCGCTCACAGAAAATATAAAGATACCCAACATTCCGACCTCTCAATCTGAGTCCGTTTCCCCTCTCTGGCTTCCTTCCCTCCTTCTCCTGTATGACGCAGTTTATTACTCTGTTCAATTCTTCAGTCTAGACCTGCATCTGAGGCCACACCCCAGCCTACTCACCCCCTCACCCCTCTTTCCTCTCTCACTGCCCCTTCCGGGGCTCTTCTCTTCTGGCCCCACCCCTGAGGAGTCCTCCTCCCAGCTGGGCTCTTCTAGAACACGAAGAATATTCCACGTCATCTAGTGAAGGGAGGGGGTAGGAGTTCTCACCCCACCCTCAGGACGATGTGTCTTCTCCCTCCCCTGCTCTGTGGCACTTCCTCTCTGGCTGACTTAGCTGACAGAACCTGGACCCCAGGCCAGGCCCCTGGCACTGGGACAGATCTGGGGATAGGCTACACCACTCTGTTCTCACCCTGGGATTGACACCAGCTTCCAACCAGTGCTCGGCAAAGCCTTAAGTAAGTTTACTGGGAGTAGGGGAGGTGGGGGGGAGAGGGGGGTGAAGCCATAAGAGAAGATCCAAAGGAATTTCCAAAGAAAGCCTGACCAGTGGTAAAATGACTTGGGAGGACTTAATCTTGCCTCCTATCCACGAAATCCTTCCCATCCCTGTTATTCTTGGTGGGCCCCGGGAATCTCTGGGGCAAGTGGGTAGGTAGTTGGAAGAAGTCAGTGGGACTGAAGGGCTGAGGGCCTGGCGGGGGGAAAAGGAGCTAGCCTTTTGAGGGGTGCAGCATAGGTAAGGAAAGTCCCCACTTTGGTTCTGGGTTTCAGGGTCTCCTGAGGGAAGGAGGCTGAAGGGTCTGGAAATACTGCTTCTGCTGTTGCTATATATTTTGCAATTGGGTCTGTGGGCAGGAAGGGGCCCCGTGGCCCAGTTAGGAAATTAGTCTTTCTACTCAGCCAGATCCCCTTAAGACAGGCCAGTTGGCAGTGATGAGGGCAGTATACTGCGGAGGTGCATCTGATGCTGCTGACCTTGGAGACAGAGTAGAATACGCAGGCTAGGTGTGTCCAGGGTGTCAGGAAACCCTTGTCCCTTCCCTCACGTGCATGTCCGCCCTCGCTCTCCAGGTCCTTGCAATGGCCACGAACATTACATCTCCTGAAGCACCCTCGTCACCAGGTGTCATGTTCATCTGTCTGCTGGTTATCATCGTACTGTCAGTGGCACTGGCTGTGGGGCTGCCCGGCAACAGCTTTGTGGTGTGGAGCATCCCGGTAGAGATGCGGAAGCGCTCTGTCACTGCCGTGCTGGTGCTACACTTGGCCCTGGCCGACTTGGCCGTATTGCTTACTGCCCCCATTTTCCTCTACTACACGGCCCAAGGCACCTGGACTTTTGGACTGGCTGGCTGCCGCCTGTTCCACTATGTCTGCGGAGTCAGCACGTATGCCAGCGTCCTGCTTATCACGGCCACGAGCCTGGACCGCTCGCTGGTGGTGGCCCTCCCCTCTGTGTCCCAGAAACTCGCACCAGGACAGTTGCCTGGCGGGCGCTAGCAGGCATCTGGGTGGTGTCTGTCCTGCTGGCCACACCCGTCATCTTGTATTGCAAGGTGTCGTTGGAACCGGACAACAGGAGCCTGGTCTGCTTCCCGAAGTACCCCAGCGAAGCACATAGGGCTTTCCATCTGTTCTTCGAGGTGCTCACCGGCTTCCTGCTGCCCTTCCTGGCCGTGGTGGCCGGCTACTCCGACATCCGGCGCCGGCTGCGGGTCCGGCGCCTCCGCCGCAGCCGCTGCACCGGCCGCCTGCTGGCCTTTATCATCCTGGCCTTCGCTGCCTTCTGGCTGACCTACCACGTGGTGAACCTGGCCGAGGCGGTCCGAGCGCTGGCGGGCAAGACAATGGGGTCCCGGCACGAGAGTCAGCGGCTGCACCTGGCCCGCAAGCGCTCAGAACGCTGGCCTTCCCGCGCAGCAGCGTGAACCCCGCGCTGTACGCAT